ACGCATTAACTGCCCTCATCATACAATGCGGTTCGCAACTTGTCGCAACTTGGCTTTCAAACGCGACCACTTCTTTTTTCCCAGGAGGTTTGAGTCTTGGCGATTACTTGCCCTGCCCCACTAAGAACAAGCGAAGCTTTGACGGGTTAAGAGACTTGAGGACTGTGCAAAGAGCCACCAGCACTGCCCTCATTGCCATACCATTCCCTCCCATCTTTGCCAGCTCCTAGGTGTGGGAGAGAGTGAAGCAGGTTCAAGTCAAACCCACAACCAAGAGTGTGTTTTTTACCATTTGGCCGCCTAGGCGCCGAAGATTTCTGGCCCTTCAAACAGACCCGGTTGATGGGGACGCCCATCAACAGAAGGATCTCCCGTCCTTAGCGCAGGACTCAGAAGAAGGGTGAGGCGGTGAGGCTGAATTGATCCGTCTGGTTGGGCCAAGGCGCCTACCAGGTATCGCTGCTGGCAGGTCACCAAATAGCTCCCCTGCGGCCTTAGGAAAGTTTGTGGACGTATTGAAAACAAGCACACACACAAACACACACGCACACGCGCAGACGCAGACATAGGCACAGGCACGCACGCAAACACAACGTGTGAACATGCATGCTGGTGGAAAATGAGGACCCCGCGTAAGGCACATCAAAGGTCCATTTGACACAGCGTTCATGCGGTGGATGCTCTGGGAAGTGTTTGCGACACAGAACTGACCATGCTTGGCAGTCAGCAAGTCCAAGGCATTCAGTTCACGTCGTGTTTGGACCACTTTTGCCGCTTCGGGGTACTTCTCCTGGAATTTGCCTGCAAAGTTCTTGACCTGGCAGTAGCTCAAGAAGCACGCCGAATTCCCAGAACAGTCAACCAAGATGACAAGTTGACGCAAAAGGCCTTGTGCTTCTTTGCCCAGCGCTTGTGCAGAGCAGGCCATTTGGCTTTCCGAACTTTCCCATTTGTCCTAGAGGCAGTCTGTGGGAAAGAGTTTCAGAGTGCTACGGCATGCAGACAAACTGACAAGCCAAGATTCCGTTTTCTGAGCTTCATCATGTTGATTTTCTTTCTGGAAATCCGCGAATGGCAGTCGGCATGCACTGTCCAGTGGTTCTTTGGGAACAGCAAATCCATCCTTAGCTAGCGTTATGGGGGATGAAGCACTCTGAAGAAAAGGCAAACAGCTGGGCGGATCGCGAGTTCGACGAATGACTCAGAGCGTCCAGCTGACGTCAGGTCGGCACTGAAGCGCACGGTGCATCTCTACAGCAAAATGGCCGAAGTCCTGCGCCACAGAATGCAGCATCAACTCTTTGCGAACCAGGTAGATGTAGATGCGGCGGCGCGATATTGGGCTTCCAAACGACAACCTGGGCCCGGGTGGGTGTAAAAGAAAGTTTCGTTCTATAGATCAATGCGTTGCAGGCTTGTCTGAAACCAGGACGCGGGTCTATTTCCACCCAAGTCATTTCGTACCTTAGATTCATGACCGTTTCTGGGCGCAACAATGGGACACTGTTCGTTATGAATTGGCCAAGCTTCTCTGGAAGCTTCTGCTTCAAGATCTCCCATACAATATTCACCACCCGAAGGAACCCCACCACGTTTTCCAGCAGAGCTACCTTGAGTGCAACGGTGTCATGCTTTGGACCAATGCCTTGCCCTTCAACAAAGCTGATTGTTGCATGACAAGTTTCCGCTGGTTCGATCAAGCGAATATTTTCTATGACCTGATAAAGCTGCCGCGCGTTTTTGTCTTCTAGAAGAGCCGTAGATGTATGCAAAGAGCTGAATGGGGTGCATGGAAATCCAGCACCGTAGATTGCAACCTGGGAGGTGTCAAGGCACAATTTTGCGCATGTGACAAAGAACCCCCCCGCCTTGCGATTCATCCACATAACTGGCTTGTTGAAAATGTCCTTCCCTGACCTGAGAAGCAGCTATTTGAACCTACACCTAGGACCTCAAAGGTGCCACAAAGCCAACTTGTTGATGGTCAAGTAGCTGCTGTGGACCCGCGTAGTTGTCCTTCAAAAACTGCCGCGCAGCTTTGTCCCGTTCGCTGTTGGACCTCAGCTTTGAAGGGGACCGGGGCCACTGTGGCACTGCCCAAATCAAAGATTGGGGCGCCAGGTAATTATCAGGTGAGTGGCAGGTAGGAAATTCGAATCTGTTTCCCCACGAGCATCTCCAGGGCGAGGAGCGGCGTGTCCATGCCACTGCCTGGGATCCCCACCCAAGAAAAGACGTAAAAATTGCTTGCCGCTACGAAGTAAAGGCCGTCTAAGAAAGCCAAGGAACAGTCGGAGGCATATGTCAAAGTTGCTGCCCCCAGCTTCTCCCAAAAGTTGTGGAGTCCTCCACAATCAGCAGATCACCCCACTTTCAAAAAGAAAGCAAGACTCTCCTGCCCGTTCGCAAAAATAGGAGCCACACTCCAGGTATGCAAGTTGCTCCACAGAAAGGTCCTGCACGGAGGGCACCCGATCAACTCAACAGCCTTAACCCCCGTTCTCCTCCTCTGCCCCAATAGATGAAGAAGACGATGTGCTTGAAGAAGAGGATGTTTCCACATCACGCCACACGGGCATCCCTAAACAACTAGCCCCTTGAGCCCATCCTGCTCATTGATCTGAGGCTTGCCAAGACCCACTTCCCTTTTGGAAAAGACCTGCTTGCCACTGGAGCTCAGTATTGTTGCTCCCCGTCCAACATCAACCAAGTATTTGGGTTCACATTGATCATGACGTGCATGAACAAGCATTTCCATTTGCTTCGCTTCAGGACGGCAAGGTACACATTCGCCGATCGCGATGAAGCTGGAAACTCCAAAGGACGAGCTGATCGCCGCTCGTCTCGAGGACCAAGTCCCGACCAGTGGCACCTCTGTTTGATCCGGCTTAGTTTGCGTTTGTTTGCAAACCAGGCGTGTAAACCAGGTAGAAATTCAGGATCTGTGTTGTGATACTGGAAAAAGGATGTCCTCCGCATGCCAAACAAGCTGGAACTACCGTGTGTGCTTCCTGGGAAAACCGCATGGCTTTGAGGCACTCCGCGCGGCTGGAGAGCCTTCCGCGAGCCCGCCCTCATGGATTCTCAGCCTTCGGCGGCGCGAGCTGCTCCGCGGCCGGCAGATTTTCGGATTCGCTCGGCGCTGCGGGACTCTTTGACGCGGAGAAGGGCTTGCTGCGATGTGTTGCGATTGACCCGGTGAAATCCCAGGTCGACTGGAGAAATCGCTCTGCTTGTCGACCCGGTCGACTTGTTCGAGCGGAAAAGGAGCCAATGGTTGGTTAATGTCCACCTAGGATTAGTAAACGGGGGTCCCCCCCCCCCCCCCCCCCCCCAACGATGGGGGCACCTGGAATTGTATCTTGAGATCCAGTTCAAGTGAGTTTCCATTTGATTTAGTATTGGTAGACTTGAGCTTCCATTTGATTTAGTATTGCTGGAGCTTCCTTTTGAGATTTGGAGCTGAGTTTCCATTTGATTTAGTATTGCTGGAGCTTCCTTTTGAGATTTGGAACTGAGTTTCCATTTGATTTAGTATTGCTGGAGCTTCCTTTCGAGCTTCCTAAGAGGTAACTGCAGTTCGGGAGTTGCATTTTTCAGGGGGGCCAATGCATCAAGACTTTATTGTAGGGGCCCCTGGAATAAAGTCTCGCCGCTTAAAATTTGGGGGGCTGAAGTACTACCCCCTTTGTGGGTTTGACGGTGGGCAGTTTTTAAACAAGAGACATGTAAGGAAACTTGAGTTTGGGGAAGGTCTGCAGTTTGGATTTTGGGAAGAAAGCAGCAAGCTTCACCAGCATCACCTGGGATTGTTTTTGAAATTGGCTAGCTGGTTAGCCAAGAGGTAACTGCAACTAGGGAGTTGCATTTTTCAAGGGGGCCAATGTATCAAGACTTTATTGTAGGGGCCCCTGGAATAAAGTCTCGGGCTTAAAATTTGGGGGGCTGAAGTACTACCCCCTTTGTGGGTTTGACGGTGGGCAGTTTTTAAACAAGAGACATGTAAGGAAACTTGAGTTTGGGGAAGGTCTGCAGTTTGGATTTGGGAAGAAAGCAGCAAGCTTCACCAGCATCACCTGGGATTGTTTTTGAATTTGCCTGGCTATCTCTCCTCTCCTTCCTCTCCTTCCTCTCCTTCCTCTCCTTCCTCTCTTTTTTTTGGATTTTTTCTGGAAAAATGGGCAGGGGTGGCGGGTGCTTGTCTTTATTGTAGGTGCATTTGTTAATTATTTTGGGCCCCCCATTTGTCTTTATTACAGGTTCATTTATAAATCCTACGTGGACATTACATCCACCATGTCCGGTTCCGCATGCGGCATGCGAGATGCGGAGCTGCTTAAAAGGCGCGCTGCCGTCTATGCCGCGGGAATCAAACCCTGGGCGTGGGGAGCCAATTTGTAAGGGAAGCCTTCCATTTGGTCTTGCCAAGTGGGGCCTGTCCACTTTTGCGTGTTTTTGTGCTGGGGGGGGGGTTCCTCCAAGTATGACACATGGCTTTCTGTGACATTCGGCTTATCTCAAGTGCGGGACAGATCGTTGCAGTCTGCTTCTTGGCGGGGGGGGGGGGGGGGCGGGGTACTTTGTCAGGACATGGGCGTAGCTTCCAAGCATGCCCAACCATCGGAGCGAGAACATGAATGCGCGGCGGAAATAACGGGGTGGGGGTGGGGGCACCTTTCGAGGCTCTCCGCGGTTTTTTGTTTTGGCTGCCTTGCTTGCAACAGCTTCAAGCCGGGCTGGCTTGCAGAAGGCCCTTGGTTTTTTTTTCCCCCGGTTGTTTCACCATTTGTTCTTGTACTCTATGGTGCCTGGAGTCGACAACGCATTGAAGACACCCATCTTGCTGGAAGCCACGACCGGCATGGAGTCGACGCCCTAGGAATAGATGGATGTCAATACAGAGGGACCCTAAAAGTCAAAATTAGATGATGCTCAAAGCCACAAATCCAGACGGTGCTTAGGGGGTCTATAGGGGTCTTCCCACGTTCCCCGACCGCCAGACTGCACAGATGCCTCTTGGGCGACTGGGGGCAACGTGGCTGCCAATGGTGGTAGGACCCTGTGACCGTGAGAGCGTTGGACCGGCACGTCCGGAGTCATGCCCAGGTTGTCCACCCTTTTGGGGCTTGAGCTGAAATGGTCAACTAACCCAGAAACCACGGGCTCCAGAGAAGGTTGGTAATTCGGTCCCAAACATAGATTTGGAAGTTCGGAGTACTCCCATTGAATCAGCACCTTGAGTGGGCTTTTCAGTTTTGTTCGTACCATACCAAGAGTAGAGATGAACTTTAATCTTGTTTTGAGGGCCTTGTGAAACACGTGGGTTTTTCAGGGCTTGATCGTGTCTCCAAACTGATGGTTCCACCTCCCGAGTCGTCGCCACCAGAGAACCAGGTAGACACCTTTAGTGGCTGCATAGTGGCTGCAATATCCCACTACGCCTTTGGGATTTGGTTGTAGTGGTCTGGGGGTGGATTTACGCCATCTAACATTTGTCTCACAATAGGAATCAGACCCCCCCCCCCCCGCTTTTCCCTTGAACAACAATCCAAAAATGGACTTCCCCCCAAAAAAGGTTTTTGGGCTTGGTCGCCTCTTCCCTTTGAAAACCAACTCCCAACACCGGCACCGAGCTGGCCAGAGGACCTGCAGCTTCGGCGCTGGAGCTGAGTGGGAGGCCTAGAGTCGCCACGTGAAACAGAACAGACGCCTCGATTCGGAAGCCCGGGGAAGTGCAGGTTACGTGGTGGCGCCCAGCGATTTCGCTTCCTCGGCGATTCTTTGAGCCTGGTGTTTCGTGGTTGGTTCCCCCGTATGTAGCCCAAAAGTTACTTTCACGAGCGGAACATCTGAGGGCAGCCCAGGTTAGGGGCGATCCCCTTGCCAGAAATAGCTGCGGATATCCACCTGCTTAGTTCTTTGCATGGTTCTGGGTCGGCCATTCTTGTACCGGGTTTTGATTGTGCTTCAACTGGGAACCGCCCGGATTCTCGAGTGCTCCTTTTGGGCGGTAAAAAGACCGGATTTCTATTTAGCAGGTCATGGGATATGTACAAGCAAGATGCTGACACAAAGCAAAGTACTCGGGGCAACTAGTCGAGCCCTTTCGTGGTACAATCGACGGTTCCATTCCGTTGACCTAGGTGCGATGCCAGGGCTTAAACCCCGACACCGTTCATCGCCCCGTGCGGGCAACACACACAAACAGGCGATGCCTTTGCGGTTGGTGAAACAACATCATGATCCATCCAGTCCGCTGCCCCCACCCCGTTTTGCAAAAACAAATAAAAATACGTGGGCGGTTTTTTCAAAGGGGGCGAAGAGGGCAGGGCCATAGCCAGAGTAGTTGTCTCGTAAGTCCACCGGCCCTTACTCAAGAAATGAGCACTAAAAATAAATAAATATTCAAGACCAGTATCAACAAACCAATTCTGTTCATGACCATGTTCATTATGTTTTTTTTGTTTTTGTTTTTTTTTGTTTTTTTATGTTCATTCTGTTCACCAAACCTGAGGTGTCCATTATGTTCAAACCAATCACCATTTCTTCGCCGGCCCGTTGGCCCAGGCTTCTCATCTCAGCTCTAGCAAGTTCACATGCAATTTCCCGAGGGATTATTGAAGATTCCGGGGTGGTCCCGGGAACCCCGGAGCCTATCTGGGCTGAGACCCCAAAGCTTTCAGCTGTTGGGGAAGAAAGATCTCCAGATTTTCATGGAGAGAAGGGCTTCACTGTTCTCTAAAAAGTGCTCAAGCCACTGGACAAATTTGCAATTTGGAAGGCCGTCCACTTGATTTCGTGGAGATTCTAGGCCTATGGACACATTCAAGTTCATAGAATCAATCAGTTTTTTACCACTCTGGATGGATGATCTGTAGCAATAGTAGCCTTCATAACCTTCATATGTGTGTGTCTTTTATAAAGCACCGCCGTTTAACGGTGGGTTTCTTCTCGGCATCCCACGGACCCTTTGCTTTTTCCATCATTCCCTGCGGCCTGAAACCAGCTCTCGGTACGTTTAGCTGAATCTTTCAAGCAAAATGCTTTTTCAGCTTCCAACCTCGACTTACCCTTCGGGACTTTTGAAATCGATGTCCTCTTGTGCCATTTCCTGACTTTAACCCCCAGAAACCGTCAAACTGATGACCCCACTTGTCGCCGAGGTTGGCCTGCACTGTGGAGCGCGCCCAGCGGCCCGGTTACGCGAGTCAACGTCGAAATCCAGAGGAACTTCTTCCGGTTGCGGAAAGTGAAGGTTGCTGTTGGTTCTAAAGGGAATATGTGTTTTTCTTGTTCCCCTATGGGAAGCTTCCGGGGAACCATCTAGCAAATGCAATTGGTTTCCCCATTATCGCAACGTGGTTTGTTCCAGGGGGCTTCAGCGAGCGGACGTCATGTGCATGAGAAAGGAGTCCACTAGTTGGACTCCTTTCCCGAAGGCTTCGAACGGGGCAACTTGATAGCGGCGGCTCGTCTTGTTTTAGGAATCGAATCATTTCCCCTTTGGTTTCCCCCTAAACCCCAAACAGGGGGTACCTTCAAGAAACAGCTCGCCCAAGAGCTTAGCAGGCTCGGTTGCGCCATGAATCCCTGCTTATGTCAAAGAGTGGACGTCCTTCTGGTCTAAACAAAAAAGCCCTCTTATTTGCAGGGAAACCCAAAATACCGCGCCCCTTCCTAACATCTCACTTCCCAAGTGGGGACGCGCAGAAAAAGAGGGCGTGTTGGAGCACGTTCCCAACATCAACGAGCGACAAAGAAGGCGACATTTTGAGGCTCATGCTGGAGCTCCGGGGCCGAAATCCTTAGATGTCGGTTTTTGTTTGGCGATGGACTAAACCGCTTTTACCGTTTCACTTGTTATGATTCTGTTTTAGTGGAATGCCATGCCAGCACTGCTTGATGGATGGTGAATTGGGGTCGTGTCGGACTGTGTCACGGTTCCTTTGATCAGGGCAAACATGGAATGTTGTGACAGCATGTGGCGTGTGTTTTGAGGTGCGCTTTCGCACAGTCTGTGTTGTCGCTTGCTTGCCCTGTGTTTGTTATCCAGCAGATACCGGTAGTTGCGCTTGTGGCATGCGCTTCCTTCTGGATTGCTTTGAACACGATTTGGCAGAATAGCAGGCTGCAAGTCAGGCGCCTTCTTAGTTTTGCAAAGAGGTGACACACAGCGAATTCAGGTTCTGCTGCTGCGTTCTGCTTGGGGCATGTTGCTGTGCGGATGCACTGCATTGGATGCTTTGTGTAACAAGCCTAGTCCGCCAGATCGCCCGACCCACAGCGACACGCTGCACACTGCTGGCCGGGTGTGGGGCAAAGGCAGTTCAGGATCCCATTGGTGCCAGATAGTGTAACTGCTGGCAGTGAACCCCCTTGGGCGGGGCCCCTTTGAAGCCAACGCACTAGGGCCAGGTGCTTGCATGTGGTCCCGACAAAGTGAATCTGGGCACCTGCATGCTGCACGGCCTGCGGTGTATGACAGCAAGACGATGAGCCAATGTGCTTGCTGGGGGGGGACCTGGCTTCTGAAATGCCATGAAGGGGAGGGCAACAATCAGTCAGCACTCAACACTGATGGGCGATTCGGGTCATGTCAGACTGTGCCACGGTTCTTTTGATCAGGGCAATTGTGGCATATTGTGGCGGGTGGTGTTTGTGTGTGTGTGTTTGTTGATTTGTGTGTTTGGCATATTTGTCCTTTTGCTTGCCTGGCTCGTGCTTGTTGACCATCCGATGCGAGTAGTTGCGCTGGTGGCCTGTGTGCGGATGCTCTGCATTGGATGCTTTGTGCAACAAGCCTAGTCCGCCAGATCGCGCAACACACAGCGACACGCTGCACACTGCTGGCCGGGTGTGGGGCAAAGGCAGTTCAGGATCCCATTGGTGCCAGATAGTGTAACTGCTGGCAGTGAACCTCCTTGGGCGGGGCTCCTTTGAAGCCAACGCACTAGGGCCAGGTGCTTGCATGTGGTCCCGACAAAGTGAATCTGGGCACCTGCATGCTGCACGGCCTGCGGTGTATGACAGCAAGACGATGAGCCAATGTGCTTGCTGGGGGGGGACCTGGCTTCTGAAATGCCATGAAGGGGAGGGCAACAATCAGTCAGCACTCAACACTGATGGGCGATTCGGGTCATGTCAGACTGTGCCACGGTTCTTTTGATCAGGGCAATTGTGGCATATTGTGGCGGGTGGTGTTTGTGTGTGTGTGTGTTTGTTGATTTGTGTGTTTGGCATATTTGTCCTTTTTCTTGCCTGCATCGTGCTTGTTGACCAGCCGATGCGAGTAGTTGCGCTGGTGGCCTGTGTGCGGATGCACTGCATTGGATGCTTTGTGCAACAAGCCTAGTCCGCCAGATCGCCCGACCCACAGCGACACGCTGCACACTGCTGGCCGGGTGTGGGGCAAAGGCAGTTCAGGATCCCATTGGTGCCAGATAGTGTAACTGCTGGCAGTGAACCTCCTTGGGCGGGGCCCCTTTGAAGCCAACGCACTAGGGCCAGGTGCTTGCATGTGGTCCCGACAAAGTGAATCTGGGCACCTGCATGCTGCACGGCCTGCGGTGTATGACAGCAAGACGATGAGCCAATGTGCTTGCTGGGGGGGACCTGGCTTCTGAAATGCCATGAAGGGGAGGCCAACAATCAGTCAGCACTCAACACTGCTTGATGGATGGGCCATCGGGGTCGTGTCAGACTGTGCGGTTCTTTTGATTGGCGTTTTGTGGCGTGTGTTGTGGATCTCTGATTTGGCATATCTCGGTGTTGCGTGCTTGCCTGTTGCTTGTCGTCCTACCGCTGCGAGTTTTCCTGCGCTCGTGGCATGTGCTTCCTCTTTGCTGTGTAAACTCGATCTGGCAGAACAGGGCGTATCTTGCGTTTGGCACAAAGGTCGAAGGATCTGTTACTCCTAGGACATACCCAGTGGATCCCAGATAATACTTGTACCGGGAGCGATTTCGGTTTCCATTTTGGGTAGCTTCGGTACTTGTACTAGTTGTACCATGCTGGTCTTTGATTTCCTGCACTTTCCAATGGAAGTGGAGGATCGGAGGCCTGCTCCCCCATGGGTCGTCTCCTTTTGGCCCCTGGCAGCTTCAAGGTGATTGGGAGGGTATCAAATTTGGGGGAAAGGATTCCATTCAGAAAAGAAGCATCTTGAGGGCACATGTCTTCTTGATTGAAGCGGTCAGGAGACTTCAGACTTCAGGTACCCACCTGTACCACCTATGCTTCAACCCGCAACCCACAAGTTCTACTTGTTGGCGATTTTTCGTTCGCCCAGGTGGCTTCTGGACTTGGAAGTGGCCTCAAGAAATAAAACATCTGGTAGTTTTTGGATGTGGCAAAATATGAACGTCCCACAGGTTTGTGGAAATACGTCACTGGTTTTAACATTACACAAGAAAATCATATGGTAGTTGTTTGATGTGGCAAAATATGAACGTCCCGCAGGTTTGTAATAATTAAACACTGTTTGGAACAATTAAGAAAGAAAACATCTGGTAGTTTTGGAGAAATGAACGTCCCACAGGTTGGTAATAATTAAATTGAAAAAATGAAAGAAACACATCTGGTAGTTTTTGATGTGGTGAAACATGAACGTCCCACAGGTTTGTGGTAATTAAACACTGTTTTAACATGAAAAAGAAAGACATCTGGTCGTTTGTTTGATGTGGTGAACTATGAACGTCCCACAGATTTGTGGAAATAAAGCACTGGTTTTAGCATTAAATAATAATGATAATAAGCAAAACACACAACACATCTGGTAGTTGTTGATGTGATGAAGCATGAACATCCCACAGGTTTCTGGAGATCAAACACTGTTTTAAAAAAATGAACATCTGATCGTTTTGATGTGGTGAAATATGAACGTGCCACAGGTTTGTGGCAATAAAACACTGTGTTAACATGTAAAAAGGAACACATCTGGTAGTTTTTGATGGAGGAATATGAGAACAACCCACAGGTGTGTGGTAATTAAACACTGGTGTTAACATTAAATAGACATCTGGTAGTTTTTGGATGTGGTGAAATATTCACAACCCACAGATGTCTGGTAAGTTACACCCTGATAAAAAAAAAAAAAAGAAGAAAATATCGTTTTGGATGGTGAAATATGAGAACACCCCACAGGTTTCTGGAAACAAAACACACTGGTAGCTTTTGGACGTGGTGAAATATATATATATATATATATTATGAGAACCAGCCACAGCTTCCGGTCATTTTCGTCGGTTTGTGACTCCAGGCACCGTCGCGCCGCTTCCGATTCCTTTTGCCAGGCTGGGCTGGCTGCTGGACTTCCAGCGCCGCGGCGCAGAGCTGCCAGGGGCCCCGAGGGAGGCGGTCGTTGTGAAGACGGCCGGGTTCTTTCAGGGAGGTCCTTGCCGTGGTTTTTTTGTTTTCCTTTTAGGAGCGGTTCTTGGTTTTGTCGGTGGTGCTTGTGCTTTTCTCTTCAGAAGGCTATGTTCCGAGTGGCTGTAAACAGAGAGGTGGCTTTCCGAGAGGCGGCGGCCTTCTTCTTCTTTCAGGGCGCCTTCTTCAGAAGGTGGCGGTATTTTTTTTTCAGAAGGGACCACTTAGACAGAGGTCCTGTGGGCCGACATTGGTCCCAGGGGCCACTTGAAGACGAACACTTTTTGAAAGGGGGCGGAGATCCAGCGGAGAGGAAACCCATCATGTCAGTGAATGGCTTTGTGGATACTGCATCCACCAAGAGGCTCCCATGAAAGTCTGCTGTCGGGTTTTTTGCATCTGGAGTCATGAGTTTGGCTGCGGAACTGGGGCCGTCATGGTCAGGAACTGGGGTGTCGCCTCAACCTGCGTAGGGGGTCTTCGATAGTGGGGTCAGCGCATCCAACATAGTCCAAATCTGGGCAATGTAGGGAAGAGTCATTCTCCGCCGGAGAAAAACAGCGGCTGGTCTCTTGATTGTTCTCTTTTTGGGTAGATTCCTGTGACACCATGATAATGGCTCAATAAACAGCGGTAGGAGTATGTTTTTATCTGGGCACCTATTTTGGGATAGCTTATTCTAGGAGTTCTGAAGAATTTGGCGATCCTTTGCTTCCAACGAGAGGCAAGCATTAGTATTCAGAAAACATATCTGAAAACGGGGAATCCCCCCCCCCCCCCCCCGCGGAAGTCTAGAAAACGGTTTGGATGCACCTTTTGTGGAAGTCACCTGTTCTTCCCACTATTGGTCCCTTTTACGTAATCTTTTAGTACTGTTTCATATCCTACAGGGGTGGATCCACAATTATCCTTGCTCTTCCGGGGTGTTCATGTTGCCTACCTATTGACATTGGATCCTGAGCAGATGTGCACATCACGGGAGGTATCACAGCCCACCTGGAAGCGCCTTTGTGTTTTCTTGCAGCTTGGCTCTGAGCCAGCCACGTGTGCCCGAGATAGGGGTGCCCTCCCGCGAAAACCCCGAAAGATTGGTGTCCTTTCGGTTTCCCTTGAGAAAGCAACCCGGAAAAGGGCACCCTTACAAAAACAAAAAGACACGCGAACAATTGATTGGCGTCCTTGATGAAGGTGTCATGTTGAAAAAGCAATCACTTTATATGTGCCCTGGTTCGAAGGGAAGCGATGCGACCTCACTTTTTTGGGTTATCCTTGCATGAGTTACGATCCATCACTAGAAAACAAGCCTAGGGCTCGCGACCGGGTTCTTAAAACCTTCTGATCGATCGAAGGGTTCTGAGAAGCGTGGTGAAAAAGGCTCCCTGACGAACCCCAACCACTTCTGGTATTTGTTTTGTTCGGTGTCACTTGATTTGGTAGGGCCTTTTGGGGCTGGGGGCCTTTCCGGAGTTATGTTCGATGGCTCTAGCTAGGGGAGTAATACCGATTAAGTCAATGGGTATCCGTTTTGTATTTCCTTTTTTTCCGGTTTTTGGTTGAAACATGCCAACCAACGAACCAACCACCGCCTACCATTAGGCTCCTTGCGCAGCCTGAGGTCTGCCTCGGTCAACAGAGGCAGGTCCGATGGCAGCACGAGATTTCTGGTTTCGAAACTTGCTGGGGCGATAGGTAAGGAATGACCGAGTCCGGGTGTTGGGAATGAACCCTTTGGGGACTCTCGAAGATAGTCTTAGATGGTTTTTCTCGGGGGTCATTATTATATTGCTTTCTGAGAACCAGCAAGATAGCCATGAACTTCCTTACGGTATGTACGTTCAGGAACGTACACAGAAACCAGGGTTTCTGAACGGTTGTGCAAGATGTGTTGTTCGTTTAGAGTTTTTGCCTGGCCCTGGCACGGGGCTAACCCTCGCAGGCAATTGGTTGGTTGGTTGCTTGCTTGCTTGCTTGCTTGCTTGCTTTGCTTGGTTGGTTGGTTAGTTGGTTGGTTGGTTGCTTGCTTGCTTGGTTGGTTGGTTGCTTGCTTGGTTGCTTGCTTGCTTGCTTGCTTGCTTGCTTGCTTGCTTGGTTGGTTGGTTGGTTGGTTAGTTGGTTGGTTGCTTGCTTGCTTGGTTGGTTGGTTGCTTGCTTGGTTGGTTGGTTGCTTGGTTGGTTGGTTGGTTGCTTGCTTGCTTGGTTGGTTGGTTGGTTGGTTGCTTGCTTGCTTGCTTGCTTGGTTGGTTGGTTGGTTGGTTAGTTGGTTGGTTGGTTGGTTGCTTGCTTGCTTGGTTGGTTGGTTGCTTGCTTGCTTGCTTGGTTGGTTGGTTGGTTGGCGGGCTCGGTAGAACAAAGGTTCATCCGCTTGCGGTTCACGAGGGTTTTGGCGGCGCAGAACTCGAGGACACGGCCTCTCGCGTGTTCTTTCAATGTGCATTCGACTTCCCATCCCCGAGCACCCGAAGAGTTGGGGCGTATTGGCCTGCCAGGCTTGGACATCTCCTCCGATGCTTTGAGGCGCGGCTTTCAGTGTCCGAGAGGATCACTAGGGGTCCCAGTGGATCCCACCCCGAGCTCCTCGACTTTAAACATTTTCGGGGGAAAAAACACATTTTGGTGGTAAACACAAAGTTCTTTTCTTTTTTTGGGGGGCATGCACTCAGGAAGTGAGTAGTAGGTAATCCTTCGCCATTTTCCTGATTTTGAAGGGGTTTCGTGGGCTACCCATAAATTGAATCACTGGGTGCTCAGACCCTGTGCCAGTTGCTGTACTGTAGGCCTTCGGTATTTTCATCGCGTTTCACATCTTGGTTCCCCCGGCAAGTGGCTTCGACCAGTTTTTGTCGACCTGTTCGTTGTTTCAGGGCACGATGACATGTTCATTTAGAGCAGTTAAAGCAATGGTCTGCAGAGGGGCTTCACCTGGTTGGAACAACGCAGCCCTACTTGGATGTTAAGCTTGCAGGCAAGTAGGTTACCATGGTTACTAGTGGGACTATTGGGACTAGTGGGACAGGGGTTGGTCGACACATTTTACCATATGATTGCAAGTAGGGGGACTATCCTTCACTTGATCCCAACAGCACTCAAATGTGAATTAAATGTAAGCTTACCCTCAGCACTCGTAGAAACAAATGTGAATTGAATGTAAGTTAACTCCCTTTTGTGCGGTTTTGAGGGTGTCACTTTCATGCAACTTGTGCGAAGCATCCCTATCTTCCTTTCCGTTTCAGCACGCACGAGCTTTGAAGCTTCCCAAAGTCATGCTCCATTTGTGCAGTATTTGTGCGAGTGCAATCAGTTGGGGATGTCTTCCCTTCTCATGTTCTATCCATTCGACTGCCCACTGCCCACCGGGTCCAGTCCAGGAGATTGGCGCCTAGAAATCGATTCATGGCTGTGGCTGTGCCGTTTCCCGGTAGAGCCCTTAGCCTCTGATTCTCTCCCGCGCTGCCTCCAAGTTTGGGTTGGGCACAGCCCAGTTTCTCCGGGTGAAGGGACTGAACCTCCGGGGCTCAAAGGAACAATTCGATTTCCTCATATTTAGGGCGTGTTGTTTGTAGGGGACCAAAGGGAAACATCAAATCCCATGAGAAGCCAAAGGCAAACATCAAATCCCATGTTGAGAAGGGGACCAAGGGGACCAAAGGGGACCAAGTTTCTGGGGGGATCCAATTCCTTGCAGCAAATCCCATGTAGGATCCAGTTCCTGCTGGATACCGCGCGCTCCCTGCTGGCGCTGGCGGCCGAGCCCTCAGCCAGAGTCGTGAGTCGGTTTTTGGTGGGGCCAGGATGCGAATCGTGGCCTGGGGTCATATACCTTTGGTGCATTTTGCCAAGGGATGTTAGGACTTGAACTCTCTGCCAACTAATGGGTGTTCCAGTAACCCACTAAAAGTTAGTCACTTTTAAGGGAGCAGAAAGCAACCGAGATTCAATTCTTTTGACGGTTTCGAGGGGTTATCAAAGGCAGAAGCTGGGGGGTGGTTTCCCTGTAGACCCACCACTTTCGAATCTTGGCCCTTCCAGAGCCAGCTTGACCTCAGTCAGCGAATCGACCTTTTGATCTGACCTTTTGGTTCTCCCATGGCAACCCTTTTTAAGGTCCAGAAAGGGTAGCCTTTTATTTCCAGGTTCTTTGGGCAAATAAGCTATACCAGCCATTTCTTCGGTTACCTGAGTTACACGCGTCACGTAGGTGTATCCGCTAAGGCTCCCTGTTTGACCTGACGGAGTGCGTGTCGGCTTCTCAAACCATGAGATCCATGAGCATCACCTCTTGAAGAAAGGATTTATGCCGCATTTATGGGCAATTTGTTTAAAATGGTGACTTTATGCTCTTTTGTTCCTCTTTGTTTGGGCCAAGTTGTTTCGGTTGCTTCACTACGGGTTCAGGTGGAGTCTAGGTCCTTCCTTACGTGAGCATCTCGGACTCAAAGCTGGCTGCTTGGCTGGCGATGACTTGTCTCATTGAGGCCTCCAGGACTCGGAGCAACGGCGATCCGAATTGGACCCAGTTTTGCCTCCAGTTTCCCATGTCGACCCTTGGACTTTGGCGCGTCGACCGCACGCGACAGGAACTCGCCAGCGTCTCGCCGGACACGTCGCATCTCAGGCCTGGAGCTTGGCGCAGCCGCTCGCAAGGCGGAGCCATCGATCTCGTCTTGGGGCCTTGGGGCCGTGGACTTCCATCAGTTTGTTTGAAAATGAGCCCAGTGGAACCCAGCGGAAAGTCCGCGCCACTTTGTGGGATTTGCTCCTTTTTTGGTTGGAACCCCTGGAATTGCAATACATGCCACCCTTCAAAAAGCCAAGAAAAGAACACTTTTCGTTTTGGGGAAGGGTTTCAATTCCTTTAAACTGAACCAACCTAAAAAGGGGGCTGACTGGGCAGCTAAGAAAATTGAATCCTAAGGTCGCTTGAGGTGATGCAGCATGGATTTCCATTGGTTGAGTTTGGTCTGGAGAATTCCATCAGTTTGCCCAGAGCAAAACAAAGCAATAAGGACGCCCCTTAGATGTTCCTCAAGAATTGGGAACTCCCAAATAGTTGACCGGTACATATGATCCAAATATTTGAGACCTATCTGTGATGAGTTACTGAAATGCTGAGATGGACCTCGGAAAATCCGCCAAAATGGACATCATTGTTCAACTGACCTTGGCTCCATTCGACAAAAGATGCAGACATGTTCGCAGCAGCTGTGCTGCTTGGGGTTGCCTTTGTATTTGAGGAAGTCCTACAAATCGAACGAGCCAACACTTGGCTGAACACAATATTTTGAAAGTCTTTGTGTTAGAGTGCATTCGCGCTGTCATTTGACTGTGACTGTTTTGTTTTTTTGCTCATCCCCCAAGGGATGTCTGTCCAATCTGTTAAGTGATTTGGGTGTTCCTTGGGGTTTGACCCCCAGTTGCTTTTCTTCAGCCAACTAGAGAAGCCACCCTTCACCGCAAAAACACAAAGAATCCAACCAACCACCAACCGAATATTTATATATATATATTAATGGGTGAAAAAGTCATTGGAGATATGAGTTTGCTGAACACGTGTAAGCTTGACGTTTTCACCTCTCCTTGCATTTGAAGCGAGTCCCGAGTCTAGTCCCTCATGCGAGCCGGGAGATTACGAGAGAGCCGAGAGATTACGAGAGGCTGGTGAGCTGGCTGCTGCCGGGCCGGCTGCGGGTCTTGGCCTTCGAGGACGCTGGGCGAGTTGCGGCTCTGTCGATGAGTCTTTGCATGTGGATTCAGAGCCACCGGAGTTTTTTTCTTGGAGAAAAATTGAGCTTTTGTACTGGGGACACGCCAGATGCGAGATGGGCGTCAACTTGCCAAAGCAGTGGCCTGTTTGCGTTACGCAGATTGTGGAGGCATCTCACTGCAGAGTTCTTAGGGACTTGATACTTTTTTGGTACCATCTTAGTTCCAGGGGGGACTTCCATTTCCATTCTGAACCCGATCCGAGTCTTTCTAGAAGAAAAAAAACAAAACCCCGGGGAAACGGCGATCGGTTTTTGAAAGCAACGATGGCTGAAAAGAATGGACCAGGAATCAACCCCTAGATGAGTGGTAAGCTAACAGTTTGGACTTTGGGGCGATCCACTCAGGAAGTGAGAAGATGGGGTCATTACCCAAAGCTGCTTGTTTGGCCACAAGAAAGGGCGGCCCCCCAGTTTTGAGATCAGGGTCACAAGGAGACTCCAGGAAGTATTGGTAGGGAACCAGCGGTTGTTCCTTGGTAAATTCCACCACCAAAACCTGGTTACCTATAATATAGTGACTACTGGAAGCACCAGGGTTGACTAAAACGTGGGTCTTAGCTTGAAGGTGCGGAAGCTCCCCCTAGGTTCGATGGTTTGCAAGGGAACCTTTTGGTTCCCCTAGTTTGAGACTAACCCAAAAGAATATGAGCCGCAATCAAAACCCGGTAGATGAAGGTTAGCAAGGGACAATCCCAACCATAAATAGGTGCGGCCGCCTTCTTAATTCTTTAAATGGTTCTGGGTAGACCATTTTAATACCAGGTTTTGATTTGATTATGTCTCATATGAGACATTGTTTGATCAGTTAGTTGGTGTGGTGTGTTGGGACATATCTGCCATTGTCACTTGACCCCATTTCAGTCAAGCGGGGTTGGTAGGGATGGTAACATCTGCCAGGGGATCACCCAGGATTGGTATTGGGGGCATTGCTCAATGCACAAGCCCGGGTGGGAAAGATTGGTGCGTCCTCTTGCCCCGGCCGACTTATCGAATGGGTGCAACCCTGAAAAATACAAATGCCTGTGGCTCAAAAACATGTACCAAGATGGCATGGAGCCAGAGACCAAAACCTGCGGTTTGCCCTGTCCTTACCGGCCTCCCGCAGGTGCCCTACGAACATTTGCTGGGCAGTTCCTGTCCAAAAGGCGACTTACGGTTTTTCCTCACGATGTCAGCCAGTTACTCACGAACCCCTCGCTTCATGCTGGCTTTGGTCAAACTTAGACCACCCGGGGACCGCAGGTTTTAGTCATCGTTTCCATTTCCCAGGGTGCCATTTAGGGTACCTATTTTTGAGACCCACATGTACGTTCTTGGGAGTCGGCCGACTGGGCGCGCGGGATTACTCTTCGAGTTGCGTCGGCGAGGCGCCCATCGACGACCTCGACGGCTTTTTGGACGTGGGCGCCGGGGGCCCAGACTTCCGAGACCTCCACTCCGCACTGCGCCCTGCGTGGGTACGGCGCGGGGCAACCGATTCCTTGAGTTTGGGATCTGGATTCAGTTCCACTGGCCTGGGGTTTGGGGCTCCCGGATTTGGGGTGGGCTTGGCAGTGGCTTGCAAAAGGAAAGGCGGACGGCTCAAAATTTGGGAGACTCGACTTCCCGTAGTTGGGGAGGTGGCAGGTCGGGCTCTGAAGCAGGATCTAAGTGGGGGGAGGGGATGGCAGAATCTCTTTACCAGGATTGCTGTCCAGGATTTGTGCGCCATATTTTGACTTGGGCAACATGTGTGTGTGTGTCATGTGTGCAGGTGTGTGGGTTTGTTTCTTTGTTATATTGTGTTAACATGATGTCAATATATCTACTATGTTACCATGTGCACGTGGAAATGTTAATTTCAATGGGGTATGTCGATGTTGGGTATGCAACTAGGGCCTTATATGTGTTTTGGTTTCAGATCACAAATCTCAGGGGACTGGCGCTCGACGACTTAGGTTTGCCTTATGCTGGCAGGCCGGGTCTGTGGAATTGGCGAACCGGGGCATCGGGGAAAATGTGTCTTCGGTGTTCATGCTCTGCAAGTCTATTCTGGGCTTCCTCATTTTTTTTTAAAAGTTGTTTAAGTTTGACAACGCTTGATTCAGAGTCTGAACATGTTATTTTTGGTGTTCCCCAAAGTTAGCTGCCAAGAATCGAATACTGCAGCGTCATAGCAAGAGGAGCCATGGGAAGATCATGGCCCTTAGTTGTGTCCTTTCAATAGCTCTAAACAACATATCTCCCCTTGCCGGGGCTCAGAGTCGATCTACGATCAACTCTTATTGGTTACGTTGATGATTTACATCATTTGGTTCTTGTCTGCCACTTGGCAGGGAAGAAACGTTTCTGCCGACTCGACACGGGAATTTTGAAGCGCCACATGGGGCTCTTTGGTCTCAGGGGCCACTTCCACAATGAGATGGTCTCCTCCGGTGTTTGGTTTTGAGAACTCAACTATTAAACGTTCAAAACACAGAGTCAGGGTTCATGATTGTGACATACATGGGATCTCTGGAAAACTTGCTTGACATGTTTAGGTTCATTAATCATCATGGACCAGAATCAAGGGTATTGCTGGCAATGTAGGCAAGCTGGCGCGTTTTGCTTGGGCTCGCGGATTCTTCCGCGGATGAGCAGCAAGTCAGCTCAGCTTCCCTCTGGACGGTTTAGCGTTCCTGTTGCCTGAGCCCATTTCAACATTACCTCTTGGTTGCCAGTTTTAGATGAGTTTCCTCTTGGTGATGTTTCAGAGGGAAGGAGCCCGGTGGTTGGTTTGGGGGTGGTCCGGTCCTCAGGTGTCCTTCTTAGGTTAGTTTGGTTAAAAATAGAAGGCACTGGTTTAGACGGGTTTTATTCCATATACCAGGGCCATCTATTTGTCCAAAAGGACACCTATGCCAGCAAAAGCCTAAACACATGGGCGTGGCGCAAAACTTAAGAGTCCGCAGACCGCAGTTTTTCGTCGGCCGTCTACTTTTCTACTGCCAGGTGTCCATTTGGGGCCGATTCCTATTCTCGAGCCACAAACACCGTGCTCATAGCGTTCAAGCAACAAAGCAGAACGAAGGACTCCGAACCACGGTTCCAGTCCTCTAATTCTGTGGGTCCTTTTTGCTTAAAGGTTTCTTAAGCTCTGGCTTTACTTTTGAGAAGAAACACATGTGCCTTCAACAAAGATACACCAAAGAACAACACATCCAATGTGTGGTCCTCAATTCTTGGAATATATTTGGAATTGCCAGACTTCTTGTCTTCCATGTTGGACCGAGGCAGCCGTTTTCGTTTTTCTTTCCCTCAAGCTGCCGGTGTTTCAACAAGTCAGCTTGCTTCCGCCATTAAGTCAAAGGAAGCTGGCGGGTGACCTGGGGTTTGCATCACACTTCGGGATTTAAGTTTGAAACCCGCAGGGCTTTGCCTGAGCTTCGCTGTGCAAAAGTGAGGGATGAAGTCAGCCATCCGGTCGGATGCCTTTAGGCTTCACGTTCCGGCCGTTTTCCTTTTCGTGTCAGGTGAGGATGCCGAGCCCGGGCACGTGGCTGGAGTCCCGGAAAACCATCGCTTCCGCTTGGATCCGACGACTTCCTTGGTACCTGGAGTCTCCAGCCCTAGAAAAAGGGATCGTGACCCCTCAATATTGGGGAATGACCAACCATTTTTAGAGGGTCATGGAGACTCTAGGTAGTGTTGCATTCTTCAGTATTCAGAGGTCTATTCTTCTGGAGCTGTAGCATTTGAGCCTCCAAAAGTGTGTCAGTAAAGGTTAAATATGAACCAGAATCAATACAAATTAGGTTTTGGTGTGTCCCAGAGTTGAGCCCTGTGTGCTTTTCATTATGTTGAATCTGTGTGTATATTGTTTTGCATATGTGTTTAGGTCTTGCTTAGTATATTATAATATTGGCGTAGTCTTGTTGTGCCATTTAGAATGTTTGTTTTCGTTTCACGTGTTGTTGTTGGCATGTCTGGGAAGAAAGGCGTGAAGCACCTACTAGGTATGGTGGTTGAAGACCCTCAGCCTGGTTCCATGTTGGTTGGATGATATAATGTCCAGTATAGGAATCTCATATTGCTTAGAGTGGTTTAGAATCTGTGAAATTCATTTTTTTTTAGTTTCGCCCCTCCCTTTTTCGGCGCTTCAGCCGAGCTTGCGGGAGATTTTCCAAAACCTCCCCCATATGACCTGCGCCTTCCTCGGGCCGATGCCCTCGGCCTGTGGAAGGCCGCGCGCACGAAACTTTCGCCGACGGCGGGGTCGACGGGGAGCTGTTCGGAGGGCGAAGTCAGGTCGATCTGCAACTTACCTCTTAAGCGGGGCCTAATGACAGCAGATTCTATGATGAGGCAGGTTGGATCAAAAGCACCCAAGCCCAGTCATTGAAGAAGTCCATTACTTACCTCTTAAAACCACCACTTTTCTCGACTTTTTGGGGGTAACATGGGCTATATGCCTGTAAAAGATGAAAACTTCCCCAGGGCTTGGAGTTTTAAGGGGTAAGGCAAAAAGCTGCTGCAAGATGTATCCCATAGAGCTTGGGTGCAACTGTCTCCTTTTGCAAGGAAAAGACCGGTCAGCTGGGCATGGGCAAATAGGAAAGGGGAGCCAGTCTGCAGTCCTTGGGCTGTTTGGATTGGTGTTCATCCTTTGCTACCAAAAATGGTCAATAAAGGTGCCGATTCGGGCCACGAAATGGCGTTTGACCGAATCGGAAAGTCTCCCTAACCGCCAGCCAAACCAGTTGGTTTTGAGCCGAACTCATGTATCTGGTTTATGCTCGCGCCACAAAAAGCGAACGCAAAACCCTGAAAGGACAACTTCGAATGCGCCGCTCATGGCAAGAAAAGCCAGGAACGCCTCCATTAAACGAGGCTTGGGGGCCTTTCTGGTGGGAAATGACCGAAAAGCTTGACGTGTGGATATGGGAACCTATCCAACGTTGCATCAAAACTTCCCGTTCTATGTCCTCTTTGTGGTGTTTCAGCATCACCTTTTGGGCCAGTTTGAAGTGAGTTTACCTGAGGCGATGTTCCGGGAAATATCGGAAGCCCTGTCAAACTATGGCAAAAAGCCACGCATTTGGGCCATTCCGCGGCGCTTTCTCAGTCACCGCCATATTTTTGGCTGCGGCTGTCCGATGCAAAGGTCTGCAACGTGGGGCATTTGCCCACGGCGGACGACGGAGACCTCCGGGCCGGAACCTCTGTCGGTCTTGTGCGGGAATCCCCACAAAACCGGACACCCGTTATATTAAGTGAGCCACGTCCTCAAAACCTGGGTAGATGATCCGGTTAGTAAGGGACGATCCCCTTGCCAGAAATAGCGGCGGATATCCGCCTTCTTACTTCTTTACATGGTTCTGGGTGCACCGTTTTTGTACCGGGTTTGATTATGGCTCAAGTGGTGGGTTCAGTACTCAGAGGTCAACGATGCATGCCTTTCATGTTGAATGTATTCTCTTGGGGTATCGCCGAGACGGTAAAACAGCGGGCCTAATATGCCTGTGCCTATGAAGTGTCATGGCTGGAACGCTCTCCAAAACAGTTGGTGGACATGTGGACAAAGATCTTGTCAGTGATATGCACCAAGGGTCCATGTTATGGTTTTGAACAAGACACTAACGCAACTTCCGATTCTACTCAGATACGGGGCCTGCAGTGAGCTGCCAGATGTGAGCAAACTAGAGCAAGCATGAGCAAGCCTCAGTTTCGAGCTTTTACATTTGTTTACAAGCTCTGATTTTTCCACATTGGATCTGAAGCCTCTGTTCCCCGTCTCAAGCCGCAATATTGGTCCGCCGGCCACCCAAAACGACCCCAGAGAAGCCGCCCGCATCGATCCGCTTTGGGCTGGCGCCTCATTGATTTGGTTTGGAAACAGGTAGCGCATACCTCCTTCGGGACAAATAAGTAAGGTACCTCTTTTTGCCTTTCACCCAAGAAGTTTAAGGTATTTCATGATGTCCCTCTGTTTTTCTCCGGCAAAAAGTCAGGCCCTTTTGGGCGGAAGCACCGCCTCCAGCTCTCGTCTTTTCTCAGCCGAGTCCTCGAGTGGCTCGCTCCGGTTTGAAGGCGACGGTGCGCAGCTCCTTGAAGATCATGGAGGAGCTCGCAGGAGACGTCTCCCCCGACCGCGCGCCGACGAGAAGGGTCAAAATTCCCCCCCCGGGGCCCCCCGGGGCAAAACCCCCCCGGGAAGCGAGCGGTCGGGGGTAGGTGTCTTTTCTCCTTTTTCTTAGAACCCCCTGAGAAAATCGGCCGATCTCTTTTTAGGGGACCCCGCCAAAATTGCGGAGTTCTCCTTTTGGCGTCCCTTCAAAAACTTCAAAACCAACGGAGGTCGGTCTTTTTATGGCCCGTTTGGGCTTGCCGGTTGAAAAGACGGTTTCGAAGCCAAACTGGAAGCTGTGGATGTGCCAGTTCTGCCGATCCGCCAGTTGCCCAAGTCCTCGAGTTTTTGCTTGTGGTTTTCCTTGCGAGAGATAGGAATGAGAGTTATGAAATCTTCACATGTAAACCGTCCAGGTGGTTGCCTTTAAGGGAATCCCTGGGTTAGATGTAGGGAATGAGAGTTATGGAATCTTCAACACATGTAAACCAGTGGGATTAAGGGTTCATCCCCACTTCTGTGATACAAGGGAATCCCCCTTTATATATGAAAGACATAGTCTTGGAGCCCTTTCTGTTGTATCGCAGAAGTGGTCATTCCCCACAGCCCTGATGTAAACCGTCCAACTGGTGGTTTCCTTTAAGGGAATCCCTGGGTTCAGTCCCACATCACCTACTGCACCAGCAAGTTTCCACAAAAAAAAACATACACAAGTTCTGTCCCTGAAAACAGAAAAGTCTCGCGGTTGTCGAGACACACACTTAACAAGGGGAAGCTCCGATTTCGGCTTTCGGCTTTCTGTAGGAGCCACTTCGCGCGAGTTCGCCGGAAGTGGGTCTGAGAACCTCTGGCGCCCTCCAAAGCGGAGGGTTTGCAGAATTTCTGAGCTGGAAATAACTTGGAATTTCATTGGGTCTGAGATTCAAAGGGATAGAATTATGAGATTATTCTCTTTAAACAAAAAGTAAAAATATAATCTATTGAGTTCCCAGTGTTGAAATCTGAAGTTATATTGGGTCGAGATCTGAGATTCTTTTGGGCATTGAGTGTCCAACGTGTCCTTTCTGCATGGGGGAAAACAAAAGGCGCCAAGAAGACCCTGCGACAGGCCGCTGTGATGTACCCAGCGCATGTGCAAAGCCAAAAGGGGGTTTCTTGCTGAGCCAAGTGTGGGTTTGCTTGGAACTCCCGAACTCGTTAAAAATAATTAAACAAAATAATAGATAAACAAAAATGAACTATGTTCATCTCTACTGAAAAGCCCGGGATTCGCCGTTCTTCTCAAACCTAACTTGGGCTTCTTCGCCGGGCATCTCCACTGAAAACATTTATTCGAGGCCTCCCTCACTCGGCTTTTCGGTTTCCCAGAAGTCGGGGTGGAGTTCGGCTCCAGGAGTGCCCGCCTGCCAGGCAAGGCCAACGGAGAGCTTGCGATGGCATCGATCAGCAGGGAATCTCACTTTCAAATGGCAAATAGTGATGTGTTTGAAACAACTCTAGGGGAATTCATGGGGTTCCCCCTAGGTTTTTGTTTTTCTTTCTTGCTTTTCTTCTTTTTTTTTACTCTCTCTCTCTCTCTCTCGGGTTGTGCATGGAGTGTTTAGGGGGGGGGGGTAGTGGTTTATGTCGGCTTACAAAAGCTTCATGCATCCCAACTGGTGCAAGAATATCTCAGTGTGTGATGGCATTGTCTTGCAAATGAAGCTATCAATTGTTTCTTTTAAACACATGATCCCATTTGAGGAAGGGGTTGAACAAAGAGCAGATACCGTTTTGGTTGCTTTGGGGGGGTTCTTATCCAACGGCTAGCGACACATTTGCCAAGCTCAGACCCACTCTCGTGTCAAGCTTTGGGGAAGCCAGTTGTTCACCGCGCTTCTGCCTCAGTAAGCAACTTGTTTCTCAACTTGGGTGTCACTCGAGTCAGTTGGAGAATCCCTATGGCGCTTCCTCTTGGTAACCGCAGAGAAAAGGTTCAGAATTCGCGACGCAGGTAGAAACCTCTAGCACGAAGACAGGCTTACAAGCTATTGGTAACATCAACACCGGGTCCCACAAGTGCATCGGTCAAAGTGCCAAGCCCATGAGGCCCCGAAAGCCGACACGAAACGCATACCCGGAACGCGAAACCGGGGAGAAGCAGGGGAATTGGATTCTAGTCAACACATGTACATGCGTTCAGGAGTGTTTCATGAGTTGCTTGAACAATGCGGGGATTTTGCAACATCGACGCCCCGAAACCTGAGCACAAAACATGAGAAGCGATACTGGGACGTCCTAACGTCGGAATGAATATGCCCCAAACAAGTAATTTTGCCGCTGGCTCATGTACATACCCTATTGCCCTATACCTGTGCGGGTACCAACTGGTGCTGTGGAGGTTTTTTTGTCGGAAAGCAGTAGCTGCGGTTTCGCCCGCGCGCCGCGCAAGCGCGCGCAGGGCGCCGGGTCGCTGTTGCCAGCGCCGGGCTTTGCCGCTTTGCCGCACGCGCTCGTATGGGGTACGGTTTGGTCGAGACTAACATGGGTGTTACCTTGGCGGCTTCCAGCCATCCCCCTAGCGGTTTTGCTTTTTAGTGTCTTGTGTTTTTTTCCAGTTAGCACCGCTTTTCCCAGCTGTTCTTGCGACTCAGGAGAAGTATCTGGCCGATGAATGGGAGAGGGGAGGGGTTCTCCAAGGAGCGGTCTCGGTGTATTCGGCAGCCACTATGCGGCGGATGCGTCTATAAAGTTATTGTCTTTTTCTTCTTCTTTGGATATCTAGCGGCTTCTTTCCTAGCATCCTGGATTTTCCAACTTGAGTTTCAAGCTCACCTGGTTGCCACAGCATGCCTGGAAGCACTGTGCTTGCGATCGGGGAGCAAATTCGGACCGACCAACAGGTACTCCAGGTTTAGGATCAATTACGTTATCACCAGCTACGTGCCCGAGTTGATATACGCCAAGGTTCCGTTCCAGCCAAGGTTGCCAACGTGCTGTGCGTCCTGCCAAAGTCTGGCCCGAGGACGGCCTGGTGGACACAAACAGGTGCTGACCTTCAAAACGGGGGCGAGGGGGACGAAGGAGCCTTCTCACCACACGAAATGTTTCCCTGAAAGCCGGGCGGGATATCTCCTTGCAGCTTTCACTACACCGCAGCCGGGTTACCCTAAACCAAGTGCACAACGGGCAGAAATCTCATAGCTTCTGGTTGCAAGTCACCGACCACCAGGAGACTGTCGCTTTCTCCCAGCTGGCAGTCCATAAGGCAGGTGAACTTGTCCGCCCGGGCGCCCGAAGTCGCTTTTTCGGCCGCCTTGCCGATTCCGCCTCGGAGAGTTAAAGCGAAAAGCCATGCCCTGAAAGTCGGGGATCCAACTTTGCTTTATGACAAAAAATGCAGAGATATTACGTTGCTGTGTCATTCAGCTGGGTAGCTCACACGAATGTTGAAAGGAAAGCCAAAGGGCATGAAAACCCGTTTTCCCAGGGCAGGTCTTCCTTGTTGTCCCCCAAAAAAAGGACCTTCGAACTGTATCCTGCCAGATGGTAATTAGTGGCTTCCCGGATGGTAGCGGGCTCCACGACGCACTCGGGTCCCCCCCCCCCCAGTCAGTTCTTGGTCGCTGGGTGCCAAAGACGAGGCACGGAATCCAAAAGGGGTACGTATGGTGTTTTTTGATTCTGCCAGGCTGGTGAACGCATATTTTGACATATTCCTGGGGAACGCAAACATGCGGGCATATGTTATTTTGACAATCATCCGTGGTATCCGCGGAGTAGTTTATTTTGACATATCCTATTTGACACCCCTGGCAAAACCAGAAAATCGTTGGCGAACACAAAAGTCCTCACCCAAAGGCCCCCAACTAGAATTGATATGAGCGTCCCGGGCTTGGCAAACAAAAGCAAGTTGCAGTCTTTTGACCCCGCGAGTAAAGCTGCCACTTGAGCGTAGACCTCCAATGGGACGAAGCCTTTTTGTTGAGCTTAAGGCAGGGGTCCCGGTTTTGGTGGGTTCCCTTTCAGGCACGAAACTGAAAGGCGCCGCCGTTCGCCGCCCTTTTGGGCCTTGGGGTCCTTTTTGGGCTGATCCGGAAAAAAACAAAAAAACACGCGGCGTCGGACAAAGATGTGGCGTTCTATCCATTTCGGGATGGCCTTCTTCGCCAAAAGGAGGGTGAGCCACACGACCATGGCTTTGGTGCATTTTGCCAAGGGCTGTTAGGACTTCAACTTTTTGCCAACTAGTGGGTTTTCCACTAAACCACTAAAAGTTAAACTTTTAGCAGGGGAGCAGATTTCGCAACCGAGATGGCCGTGTCCCAAAAAGAAGTTCCTGGGTTGTTGGAAGGAAGAGTTGGGGTCCAAGATTTTCCGCAAAGCCTTTGGGAGATAGGATTGGAAAGATTGTCAAGCCAAAGTGGATTGGTTGCGATGGTCCCGCCTTTTTGAGCATCCATATGTGTTTGTCTCAAAATAGGGGACCCTCAAAATGAAAATGGGAGGTGATCCTTCCTGGAGGCGTACAGAAATGTGCCTCGAATCCTTCTGCCCAATGCGCCTGTGCGAATGTTTTGGCTTCCGATTGGAATTTGGGCCGTTAAGTTGACATTCAGCCGTTGAACAATTGCGCTCGGTTGGGAATTCACTTTTCGGCGCTGTTTGTTGCGCGGGGAAAGCCAAAAAATCCGGGCAAGCCGTCGAATCAAAACCCGTGCGTTTCCAATCTGGCAAAAACAAACAAAGGCTCAAGGGTAGCCCTAAAGGACACGCTGCGGCTCGTAGGGATCCGGAGACCCATGGATGAAGATTCGTTTGGGTTTCCTTTTGGTTTGCCCTACACGAAGGTGAAGACCACCAGGCCATGACTTCCAAAAACTGGCGATGTTTGGCGACAGCGAACAGCTAGGTTTGGACCAGCGACGAGCACGCAACGGCCTGGTACAAGCAGTCGGGGGCCCATGCAGATGTGGCATGTATGCCCAGTCGTCCAGTGGAGTCCTGTTTTCCTGTTTTTGTGAAGGGTCCTTCTTTAAAGTCAACCAAAAAAGGATGCCCTTCTTCTCGCATCTGAGTATGACTCCTTGGATCTTGGACTTCAACTTTTTGGGAGGCATCTTGTATTTTTCCGTTGGGCCACGAAAAGTGATTTGTGTTTGCAGAGGGGTCAACACAACCAAGCTGAGTGTTTCTTTGTTGAGGGTGACCTTTTTGGATCGTTTCAACAGAAAGCTAACTAGGAGCGATATCAAAGCCCAACAATGGTGTGCATTTTGAGGAGGGTGTGTTTTTTCAGGATGTGCCACATCTACTCCACACCATGGTCTAATTTTGGTATACCAAGTTGGTTCGGGTGCGTACTTGTCCAATCCGAACCACGAGTGGGTTTTTCGTTCCCTTCGAATCGAGCCTGGACACACTCAACTTAGCGCTCCATTTTGCAAGGAGAACCCAAGAGGGCATCAACAAGGCTGTTTCTGGGAGGATTCTTTCTGGTTTTATAGTTGAAGGAACGAAGGTAACAGGTACATGAAACAAAGTGTTCCTAAGTTGTTTGTTTCCCTTTCTTGGTGGTTTGTTTCTCCCTCTTTTCGCAACAATCCCCGGCGCGAGTTTTTTTTTGTTTGTTTTGCGTCAGGTCCCGGGCGCACGCGAGCATCTTAGCGCAGCACGCCCAAGGCAAGCTCAGGACCGACACGGCCGCCTTCTTAATTCTTTACATGGTTCTGGGTCGACCATTTTAATGCCGGGTTTTGATTATGACCCAAGTGAGCCTCACACGCCTGATATGACTACAAAATTAAGCCACTAGAAGACTGCAGGTTGAGTCCTTCACCAAAGCACCCCATTTCGGGCATATATTTTTGACCCACAGCAATATGGATCCCCCAACCCAAGGGCTCTTAGCTCAATTGCAGAGTGAAGGTTCTTCAACCACGAGCGCCGGTTTATTTTGGCCGGTTCACCCCCGTGGCTTTGCTCTCGGGTGTTTGAGCATGTGTATGTTCGACGTTAGCAAAAGTTTCCGACCGCTCGACTCATTGCACTGGGCTTGAGCCATGCGAGGAGTCACGAGCTTTGAGGCCATGAGTCTGAGAAAACTTCCCCAGAGATAGCTCCCCTTTCCGTTGTGTTTTTCCCCCGAAAGCATGGCGAAGGGTTCTTCCGTGCGGAGCTCTTGGTCAACTTGCGCAGAGTAGCTTGCACAGAGTCACCAGCATGGAGATACTCGCGCTGAGTTACTAGCGCAGAGTAGCTTGCACAGAGTCACCAGCATGGAGATACCAGCATGGAGATACTCGCGCTGAGTTACTAGCGCAGAGTAGCTAGCACAGAGTTACCAGCATGGAGATACTTGCACAGAGTCACCAGCATGGAGATACCAGCATGGAGATACTCGCGCAGAGTTACTAGCGCAGAGTAGCTTGCACAGAGTCACCAGCATGGAGATACCAGCATGGAGATACCAGCATGGAGATACCAGCATGGAGATACTCGCGCTGAGTTACTAGCGCAGAGTAGCTTGCACAGAGTCACCAGCATGGAGATACTCGCGCTGAGTGACTAGCGCAGAGTAGCTTGCACAGAGTCACCAGCATGGAGATACTCGCGCTGAGTTACTAGCGCAGAGTAGCTTGCACAGAGTTACCAGCATGGAGATACTTTGCACAGAGTCACCAGCATGGAGATACCAGCATGGAGATACTCGCGCAGAGTTACTAGCGCAGAGTAGCTTGCACAGAGTCACCAGCATGGAGATACCAGCATGGAGATACTCGCGCAGAGTTACTAGCGCCGAGTAGCTTGCACAGAGTTACCAGCATGGAGATACTTGCACAGAGTCACCAGCATGGAGATACCAGCATGGAGATACTCGCGGAGAGTTACTAGCGCAGAGTAGCTTGCACAGAGTCACCAGCATGGAGATACCAGCATGGAGATACTCGCGCAGAGTTACTAGCGGAGTAGCTTGCACAGAGTTACCAGCATGGAGATACTTGCACAGAGTCACCAGCATGGAGATACCAGCATGGAGATGCTCGCGCAGAGTTACTAGCGCAGAGTAGCTTGCACAGAGTCACCAGCATGGAGATACCAGCATGGAGATACTCGCGCAGAGTTACTAGCGCAGAGTAGCTTGCACAGAGTTACCAGCATGGAGATACTTGCACAGAGTCACCAGCATGGAGATACCAGCATGGAGATACTCGCGCAGAGTTACTAGCGCAGAGTAGCTTGCACAGAGTTACCAGCATGGAGATACTTGCACAGAGTCACCAGCATGGAGATACCAGCATGGAGATACTCGCGCAGAGTTACTAGCGCAGAGTAGCTTGCACAGAGTCACCAGCATGGAGATACCAGCATGGAGATACTCGCGCAGAGTTACTAGCGCAGAGTAGCTTGCGCAGAGTTACCAGCATGGAGATACTTGCACAGAGTCACCAGCATGGAGATACCAGCATGGAGATACTTGCACAGAGTTACTAGCGCAGAGTAGCTTTCACCAGGATGGAGATACCAGCATGGAGATACTTGCACAGAGTCACCAGCATGGAGATACTTGCACAGAGTCACCAGCATCGAGTCACCAGCATAGAGTTACTTGCGCAGAGCCAAGTGCAAAGATTCAAGCGCATAGAGCCAAGTGCTCGGAGCGAAGTGCAAAGAGCGAGGTGCAAGGAGCCAAGTGCAAGGAGCCAAGTGCACAGAGCCAAGTGCAAAGAGCGAAGTGCATCGAGCCAGGTGCATAGAGCCAAGTGCATAGAGCTAGGCGCATAGAGCTGAGCTAAGCTAGGTGTAGAGGCTCGGCGATAGCAGCTGTGTAAGCTAGGTTAAGTAAGTTAGGTTAAGTACTTAACGCGCGGGAAAGAAAGAGAAAGAGCTCGGCATTAAGAATCTCTTTTAAGGCGGGGGGTGGGGATGTTGTGGGGATGTTGCCGACGATCGGGAATGCGACCCTCTGCGGAGATCGGCGTGGTCGAGGTGCAAAAACTCGAGTTTTGCGTTTTTTAACATGCCCGCGCGACCCTCTGCGGGGATCGGCGTGGTCGAGGTGCAAAAACTTGAGTTTTTGTCGGTTCCCGCGCGACCCTCTGCGGAGATCGGCGTGGTCGAGGTGCAAAAACTCGAGTTTTTTTGCGTGTTTTTTTGATATTCCCGCGCGACCCTCTGCAAAAACTCGAGGTTTTTTGCGTTTGCGACATTCCCGGATGAACCCTCTGCGGGGATCGTGTGTGTGTCGAAGTGCTCCCGCTGTGGCGCCGTGCGAATTCTTCTTAGTCTCGGCGAACCTTCTGCGGAGATCGTGCGTGTCGAAGCGCTCTCGCTGTGGCGCCGTGCGATTTTCACCGGGGCGGCCTCCGCGGGCCCGCTGGACTGCGAGAGCCTGGACTGCACCTTCACGGCCACGAGCGGCGGAGTGTCGACGGGCAGCGTGGTGCGCGGCGACGTGACGAGCTCGGGCAAGGTCTCCGCATGGCATTTGAAAGTTGTCTCGTGGTTTGCGCGCCCGCAATCCCGCGGTCGTGGGTTCGATTCCCCCCTGGTCCGCGGCAGCTCCGGCTTGAAAATCGCAGCTTTTAAGTACAAACGTAGTACGCGGAGCGTGCTCCTGCAGCTCCGGCTGGAAAATTGCAACTTTTAAGTACAGACGTAGTATGCGGAGCGTGCTCCCGCAGCTCCGGCTGGAAAATCGCAACTTTTAAGTACAAACGTAGTACGCGGAGCACACTCCCGCAGCTCCGGCTGGAAAATCGCAACTTTTCAGTACAAAAAATAGTACGCAAAGTACATTCCCACAGCTCCGGCAGCACTTGCGCAGAGCAACTTGCGCAGAGTCACTTGCGCAGAGCAACTTGCGCGCAGCAGCCTGGAACAATGTAGCTTGCACAGACCACTTTCGTGAGAAATCGCGCGGCGCAGTTCGTGCAAAGCACATTGCGCCGAGCAGACTCGCGCAGAGCCAACTTGCACAGAGCCAGTTGCGCAGAGCCACTCGCGAAAAGTAGCTTGCGTAGAGCCAACTTTCACAGAGCCAAGCTGCGCAGAGCCATCTTGCACAGAGCTAGGTTGCGCGAGCGTGCAAAGCAGCAGAAAACTGTGGCCGTCGTGTAAGCTTTGCTATTGATTGCTTTTCCTTTTGCTTGTAATTCGTTTCGAGCTTTACGAGCTTTACTATTCTTGTTTTAACGGATGTAAATATGCGGGATCGAGCACTGCCATGTTTCCTTTGGTAGGACGATGAGATGGAGCTCTCGTGTCACCATACACATTGAGCATCGCCGCGCGCAGGCACGCTCGCCGCAGCGATGTAAAAAGGTGCCTCCGCGGCTGGATGAGCACCTGGGGAAAAATGCTTTCGGGCCAATCGTCCTCTAGTTGTTTTTTCTTCGGGTTTTTGCTTTTTAGGGGTCCCCTTGGTTTTCCACGAAGGCACAAACATATTTCAGCTCTTTGGCTGGGGTCCTTATTTGCCAGCCAAGAAGCCTGATTTCCTGCCTGCCTGCAGGGCACAGAGAAGCGCAGGCCTGTGGTTTTGCGTAGCTACACTAGGTGCCCCAGTAGTGCCCTTTTTCAATTTTGTTTGCTGGGGTTCCCCAGCAAAAAACACTACAGTGACTACAGAAGAAAAGGGTACCCTTATTCCACCCTCTCTACTTGTTTTTCCAAGGGTGGTCCGCAGGGGACGGCTCTTCGAAAAACCAAAGGCTTGCAAAATCTGCTCCCGGCGCAAGTTGGTCGGTGGGTCCATGTTTATCTTATCCTACCTGGAGTCTCCATGACCCCTAGAAAACGGTTAAGTTGGGTAATGACCCCAATTTTAAAGGGTCATGGAGAATCTAGGTACCAACATTTCACCTTCATGAGGTACGTGTCGAAGAAGGGTACCCCCTCGAAATACAATAACGGTGACCAGACAATTCAAGCTGAACACGGTTTGTTTGCTTGTTAATTGGAGCAATAACCTGAGACCTCGTGAACAAGGGGGAGGTGACTCAACATGCGCCCCGAAAGAAATGTTGATTAAATTTGTATACTTGTGTATTTAGAGGTGTCCAAATCGGGTTGCCACATCACCTGCTGCCTTCCAACTGACCCCCGACAACTTGTGAAGGGCTTGGCTTTTCTCGGCGCTGTGACAGTCCCCCTGCTGTCAGCTTTGGGCCCGAGTAGTAGAGGCTAAAGAAGTACGAACTGTTTTTTCCAACAATGCCTCACTTTGGTTTTAATGTACCCTCCCAGCCCCAAGAGATTGTATGGAAACGCCCACTTCCCAGCGAGTTCTCACTGCCAAAAGCGAATCGACCCTTTGACCTTTGAGTTTCCCCGTTTTGGGTTCCCACGTTTAGTGGCCCCCTTGTTTTTTCCAGGTGAGACTTACCATCCATGGGTTGTTTGTCTTTTTTGGTGTGATTGCCATCCATGGGCTCGTTTGTTTTTTGGTGAGAATCACCATCCATGGGGTTGTTTGATTTTTTGTTTTTGGTGACAATTTCCATCCACTATTTCTCAGAATTACAATCCATGGGGTTGGGTGAGCATGACCATCCATGGGGTTGTTTGTTGTTTTGATAATGACCAAGGTTGTTTGTGTGTGTGTGTTTGTTTGTTTGTTTGTTTGTTTTTTGTTTGTTTGTTTTTTGTTTGTTTTTTTTGGATGGGGGGAGAATTGCAAACCATGGGATCAATGGGTTGCTTGTTTGTGTATTGGTGAGAATTACCATCCATGGGGGCTGTTTGTTTTGTTGGTGAGAATTAATAAATTACAATTCACAGGGTTGTTTTTTTGGTGAAAGTTATCTTCCATGTTTTGTTTTGCCCGGTGATATTTTTCTATCCATGGGTTGATAGTTTGTGTCTTTTGGTTGTTAATGTCCGTCCATGGGGTTGTGTGTTTGTTTTGTTAGGTGATAATTTCTGTCCATGTTTTTTCCCCCCCCCCCCCCCGTTTGCCCGTCCAGGGATTTTTCGGGTCCCATCCAGCTACAGTGTCTTCACCAGGACCTTCGGCAACCTGCTGCTCACGTTGCGTCCGAAGCGCGCTGCCGCCTACCAGCGACGCTGCACCCGCTGCGCAGCGCCGGTGCCCGGGCGCTTTGGGAGGCGGGGGGGGGGGGGTCTGCGCGGATTTTGTCTAGGTCCCCCAGCTAGGTGCCCTTTCTCACCCCTGTTTCTCCAACGGATTCTGTTGCTTGTCGCGTCCAAGTGTGAACCAATTGAAAGGTAGTCTTGCGCACAGATAAGATACCGACGAGACGCAGAAAGAATGAACGCACCAAGAAGACATGCGGCGGGGCAAGAGAAATCGCGAAAAATAGCGACCCTCTATGGGTCTTGGCATCTCTGGTGGGCTGCAAGCTACCTCGGGCACGACGCTGTTCACGGACGGTCTCTGGCGCAGACCCAGGGCCGTTGGTGTGGACGGTCCGCCGCGCTTTTCGTGACGAGCGCGCAGCGCTTCGGTGAGCTGAGGTGCAGATTGGGTGGCAGGCGCGATTCTTGGCGCGGCGCTTTTGCAGTCACAGATGCGGCGCTTGGCAACACCTGCGGCAACGCGCGCAAACTGGCACACGCAGACCTGTGACAGGCAGGCGCAGCAATTTTGCAAGGCCAGGTGCAAAGTTTGAGGCAGGCCGGCGCCGGACTTTCGCAGCACTTTCGCAAGGTCAGGTACGGGTCTCGTGGCAGGCGCGGCGATTTCAGAAGATAGAGAAAGTGTGGACGGCGATAGATAGTTACAAGCTCAGAACGATATTTTAGAATTGGACGTAAAGAAAGATAGACTGATAGCTAGCCAGACAGACAGACGGTAGATAGAGAAAGCAGGTAAAAACCTGAAAAAGAGGAAGAATGAGCAAAAGAGAAAGAGAGATAGAAAAGGAAAGAGAAGAGAAACCAAATGGAAAGAGACAGAAGAGAAATATGCACCGCTCGCACACCTTCACTTGCGCAGAAGTAAGGGTTGTTTTTGGACCTTGTTTTGGCTTATAAATACTACCTTCAATTTCATGTAAAAAACTAAGGCCAAAAAGCGTACCGAATTTCTGTTCGAGTGAAAGTGTGCGAGTTTGAACACACGCATTCCACCCGGACGCTCGCACGCTCTACTCGCACCGTCAAAAAGTTCACTCGCACACTATTTGGCAAGAATGCCCAAAAACCTGCTTACAACCTCTTGGCACCGTCTGAATAGAGATAAAGAAGCGGAACAAGAGAAGAAGACAGAGAAGGAGGAAGAGCAAGAGCATTTGAAAGCGAGAAAAGGAGAAACATTCTTATATGATTGAGGCTTCCGCCACCCGACTCCGCCGGCTCCACTGGTGGAGGATCTGCCTTAGTACGCCAAGGGCTGAAACCAGAAGAACGACGCAGGCTACAGAAACTGGTGCCGTCGCTGAGCCCAGCAGCCTGTCGCCTGGAACAAGAAACTGCAGCGGTGGCCGGCCAGGACGTTCTGGGCGCAAGGGATTGAGGGGCATGAACTTGGAAGCGTGGAGTGAGGCGCTTGGAAGCGTGGGAAGCGTTTATCAAGGCACCTCAAAGCGTGCAAGGCCACCATGCGCCTGGGAATGGAGTGGGGCGGCGCAGCCCTGTGCGGTCCTTTATCCTGATCGCGACACCTGGTCGGAACACGTTCGGACCGCGTTCGCTCAGACAACGTTCGGAGCCGAGACCGACGCGCGTGCTTTGGCAACATGTTTGTGTGGCAGGCGCAATGGTTCGCAAGGTCAGGTGGTTTTGTCGTGACAGCCGCAGCGCCTTCGCAAGGCAATGCTCAGACTTCGTGGCATGCCAGCGGCTCGCACGGTCAGGCGGAGATGTCGTGGCAGGCGCAGCGCTTTCGAAGTCATGGATAGATGCGTAGATGAACAGAAAGGATAGATTAGATAGATTAGGAAGAAAGCTTCAAGGTATAGTGGATACGGTGGACAGATTGATACTCAGGAAGGTAGACACCTAGATAGTTGCATAGGTACACAGACTGCTTGACCGATAGGTATTTGTGGATAGATAGACACTACATAGAAAGCATGCCACAGCGATTGAAGAAAAAATCAATCCCTAGATAGGCAGATAGATGGATAGAGAGATAGAAAGATTTGTTGATTGGTTGGTTGATAGTTTGATTGGTTGATTGATTGGTTGGTTTGTTCACTGTGTGATTGTTTGGCTGACTGGCTTAATTTGATTGGTTGATTGATTGATTGATTGATTGTTTGATTGATTGATTGGTTGACTGATTGGTTGGTTGGTTGTTTGGTTGATCTACTGATTGATTTGACTAATTGTTTGATTCATTGATTGGTTGGTTGGTTGACATTTTCAACTTCGGTAGATAGACAGACATTTCTCAAAACAGATAGGAAGGTTGATAAGACCGATAGAGAGAGCGAGAGAGAGTGAGAAAATGAAATTCAGCAAGAATGCAAGCAGGAAATAATCAAAGGACAAAAGAAAGAAGGAAACAACAAAGAACGGGCAACGTAATCCAAGAAAGTGAGGAATAAGGAAAGAAGGAGCGACAGAAGAAAGAAATACGGATCGAAGGAAAGAAGGAAAGGGGGAAGGAAAGGCGAGAATGAAGAAAAGGAAGAAGCACGGGAAAGCGTGAACGAGGACAAACAACAAGAAAAGAAAAATAAGAATGAAATCAAGAGAGCTGGCATATTTCCACCCACCTGCACCGACTCTGGTACTATTGCAACTGCTGGTGGCAATTTACGCTTCCGTGAGCCCTGCCTTGGGGTTGTCCTAAATGTCTCTTCAGGTCCCCGGGGTTGCTTCAGGATTCAGGGCTCGCCATGTTTTCCCAAGTCAAGTCGGGCCACCAACCATCTAAGAACCCAGGACCATTCCTGGTCGGGGTATGGTCAAAAGGTATGGTGTGGAGCTCTTAGAAACCAAAACTGAGGAGCTCAAAGCCTTGGCCTTTACTTGAAGTGGTTGATCGAAGCTCCCAGAGGCGCGATTTAAAGGCATTGCGAATTGAACGCTGGAGATCTAAGAAAAAACTTGGCAAAACGAACGATTTGGCAATACTACGTCAAATGCTTAAAATCTAGGATCAAGCCTTGGTAAACTATTTTAGAATTGGTGCTATGTCAAATGCTGGAAACCTATTAAGTTTGGCAATAGTTCAGCTTCGCCAATAGTAAAACAAAGTTACTAAGTCTTGGGAATGCTACACGTGGGATGCGCGATGCTAAATCAAGTACTGGAAGCCTGAAATTAAACAGGCTAAGTTTGGAATCAGTACGAGGAAGAGGAGATTAAGTACGCATTGATGGTACTAAACTCCAGCGTGAAGCAATAATCTAATTGAAGGGGTCAAAGTGACTGGCTGCGCGGTTCACAGTGGGACATTGTAGTATTAGGAGGGGCCCACGCTGGCCCAATCGCTGAACGCATTCTGCGAATCATGACATATGGGGGGTGGAATGCACCTATGGACATTGCGAGCCCCGAAACAAGCCGTGCAGTTCCCGGCTCCAGGCTTTCCCCAACTCCCCGTTTTCCCCCGCTCCGCGCTTCCCCGCCTGCACCTTTTTTTTCCCGGCCCGCGCGTAAAAGTTGCACCCTTAGCGCGTGAGCAGGGGAAGGGATGAAACCAGAAAAAGGAGGCAAACTAGAGAACATGATGCCGCGGCTGGGCCAAGCAGTCTGGCGGGCGGCAGCAAAGTGGGTGCCGGGAGCTTAAGACGCCAGCCCAAGTGGCCAGCCACCGCGTGCGTGGCAGTCTTTGCGCGTGGCCCGCCTGACTGACTGAAGCGCTAAACGGGTACGGGCTAGGGTCGCTAACAAGCTGAGGAATCGCCGCCTGACTTCACGGGTCGGTACACAGCCTCCAGAAACCCAGTCCCAAGTGAGCAGTTCAAAAAACCCCTTTTACATCCCAGCCTGATTCCGCAGGGATTCATGGGAGGTTTTTTGAGTAGCATCCGCATGACCCGAGGTGCCGCTGTGGAGGTGCTGCCTATGAGCTTCCGGCCTTCTGAGCGATCCGAAAAGGGGGTGCTCCCGTTTTCGGGGGTGGATTGAAGTCTACACATCATCTCAATTCTGTCCTGGAGCACCCTTCGTTACATAAATTTCTGCCCGTAGCCCAAACGTATTGCAAAACCAGGGGTCGTCACCAAAATATGGTAAACGTACACAATTTCCTGCTTCGAGCGTTTTTCCCACAACCGGGCTGGTCGGTCCTCCAAGATGATCGGTCGCTGAATATTCAAAAGGAGCGAGCAGAAATCAAAGTGCAAAACGAGCGCAAATATCCGCAAAACGAGCGCAAATATCCGCAAACGAGTGCATTTTATTTTATTTTTTTTAAAAAAAAACGTAACAATCCCGCCTTCCTCTGGATGGAAGAAGGGGATTTGGTCGAGCGTTTTTCGGGGGGCGGGGGTTGATTTAGAGGCAAGCACATGGTCAACACTCCCTGCAAAAGGCTCGGCTTGGTACAGATCGTCGACCCTGTTGAGATGGACTTGGATTTCCCCCAACGCAAAACGCAAGGTCTCCAATGCATGACCATGGTGAGGATTTTCGAACAAGGTGTCTTCAAGCTGTTCGAACGTTTGCAAGGCAACCAACACGAAATGAGCTGCGGGCTTTGACAAACGGATCGGGTTTATATATGCATACATACATATACATACACATATATGTATATATATATATAAAGGGAAGTGTATGTACTTTGTGAACGCAATCCTGCTGGTTAGTGGTGTAGGATCGCGTAGGCGTTTGTGTGCTCGCGTAGGCATGACGAAACATTGTTCAAAGTTGTTTGTCAAGTAAAAAGGAGTTTGCTTCTCTCTTTTTCTTCGGCCCCGCGTAGGCATTCGCGTAGGTTTTCACGGCATGTTGATTACTTAGACCTATCCTTGCAGCCACATCCTGTGACAGATGTAGGGCAGTAACCTGTGCTGCAGGGAAGATCTTAGCACCCCTTTGCTGCCAAAGCGTGCCTCGTGCACAGGGTGCAGAAAAAAAGAAAGAAAGAAGAAATGAGCTGAAGAAAAAATCGCGCTTTTCCAGCTGGAGCTTCCAAAGTGCACTTCGCGCAGCATGCTTGAACTGAACCTCCGACGGAAGACTTTGCACGACAAACGCGCTCGCGTTTTTTTTCTTGGGGAGGCTTGCGGAGGCCCACGCGGAGGCGTGAGATGCTTCCAACTGCTTAGGAATGGTTTTTTTTATTTCCCCTTGTTGGTTTTAACAGGATTTTATCACTGGACATGGCTTTATATATTTTTTTTAACCAGGGGTCTTAACCGAATGGACAAATTGGGGCCCGAAGCCCAACAGCAATGAAGCCAGGTTTGCTTTGGCTCGAAAGATCTCTCGCGATTGTTGGGGAATTTTCGCGCCGCACCTTTGCGGCACAGCCGTCACTTTGGTCGCCCAAGCCCGTCTTCCAACTTCCGGAAAAAAAGAAAAAAAACGGCCCCGCGTTTTCTCCTTTTGTGAGCTGGGCATTTTTTGTTGAGAATGCATTTTTTAGAGTCGGAGTTTCAACCCAAGGGCATTTTCACCAAATCGCGAGGGACTCGCAAAGCGCCGACTGGTTTTGGACCCAGCTCCGGTGACGTGGAGGCCACTTTGTTGCTGGAATTTGGATGCGTTTCTTCGCACTTTCTCCGCTGATGAAAGGGGGCGCAGAGGGCTTAACAGCCATTGACAACCCAAGTGTCTTTTTGTAAGGCAGATAGTTGTTGGAAGTTGCCACTGAAACCAGTGGAATCCATATTTTTTTTGACCAAACCGCAAGGACATCTATGAGGGGCCAAATGGCCAAATGATTACAGCAGATTCTATGATCATGAGGCAGGTTGGATCAAAAGTACCCAAGCCCAGTCATTGTTTAGTCCCTTACTTACCTCTTAAAAACACAACTTTTCTCAACTTTTTGGGGGTAACATGGGCCATATGTCTGTAAAAGATTAACTTTTCCAGGGCTTGGAGTTTTAAGGGGTAAGCTTATACTAGAGACAATTGGCAGTCAGTGGCTGATGCTCAGATGGTTGGGAGTCACTGTGGATCAACCAGTTGCAAGCCACAAAAGGTAGGTACCCAAGCCTTCAAGCGGTTTCGCATGCTGGTTACCTGCAAAGTACACTAGGGTATCCTAGGGTGAGGTTTGACTGAGAAAGTCGATGATAGCTTTGGGAGTCTGCTTTTCGTTGGATGCTCGAAGCTGCTTAGATGCGGTGGAATTTTCGCAGGGTTTTACCAGAACGATTTTAGGAAATGGCCGGGGCACGCGAGAGAGATTCGCCCAAGTCGACCACAAGTCGACCTCATGCATGGCGGTCTTGATGTGCTCATTTCTTAGCGAATTGCCAAAGATTGCTAGCAACTGGCTCAATCTTCTCAAATCCGCTTTGGCCTAATCATGTGAGAGTCAAAGCTATTATGCACACCTTGCCGCATCAGTGATTTCAGCTCGGAACAGGTGGTTTGCCATTTTCGATGTTGCTTTGGAAGTGAGGAGCCAAGCTTGTCCGCTTATTTTTCGGGCTGGACACCCGTGCTCAATGATGGCCGTACGTGCTGTCTGTGATCAGGCTGGGCTGGGAGGGTTCCAAACGGGTAAAAGGACATTGAGTCCCCGTATCCCAACGGTGACTTGATTTGTTCCAGCTTAATTGAAATGATTGAAAACCGTACCAGCTCACGTGTCAATATAGGGAGACCCCCCAAGTGGCGCTGTTCCTTTCGGTTTTCTTTCAAACCCTCCAAATGAAAATCGCCGAAAGTACATGGCGATCCGGGGCGGTATTCCAAGCCACAGGAAGCGCACTGTACGACCAGAGCTGAAAGAACCAATTTGCGCTGACGCCGGGATGTGTTTTGGCTCCGATCAGGACCCATCTGGCATGTGCAGGCATGCGCAACACAGCCATGCACAACATATTCATGACGAATGGACCAAGATCACAAATCAAAGGACTGGATACCTCATTGGCCTAGTCGCTTTGAAGCGGGGCCTTTACTTGATGTGTTTTACATGGTGGATTTGTTTAGTGAGTTCGACATGAGTGGACATGCGCGTTAGAAAGTACGACCGCTCTGCGCAGATGAGTCTAAAGTCTTGCGCCTGCCGTGGGCCAGTTGGTTTTCGTTTCGTTCGGCCCGTGGTTCTTCTTACTTTCGTTTGTGCGGTCCATTGATTCGGGGATGCACCACATTCCAAATTTGCGGGTGAACGTGGCAATGTTGCGTTCCCCCACTTGACGATGTGGCTTCCCTCGCAAGTATTGCGTAACATTTGTGCAAACAAACTACTTTTATCAGGTAGGTTCCGTATATACATGCATACATACAGACAAACAGACAGACAGACAGACAGTCAGACATTCAGACAGTCAGACATTCATTTAGTCATTCATTCACACAATACAATACAATACAATACAATACAATACAATACAATACAATACAATACAATACAATACAATCATACAATACGTACGTACGTAGGTACATACATACGTACATACATATCTCACCAACATTTGACCCAATTTGGGCAAGTATTGCGCGCCATGACGTGAGTGTTGGGGCTAGCCTTGCCAACCGCACGGATCGAACCAGGCGTTTCGCTGGAAGTTCATCAAGAAGGCGCAAAGTCCGAATTCTTTGTGAGCCTTTGGCTGAATATCCTTGAACCAAATGCTTAGATTGTTTCAGCGAGCTAAATATGGTCACATGATGAGAAGCGGGTCACAAGCATGACGGGCAAGCTTCCAAAGGCGAACTGGATTGAGTCTTTGACCCGCAAAAGCAGACTCCCATTCAGAGAGAATTCTGTTTCTTACGGCTTGAACAGCACATCACTTGTCGGAGACTCAGCAAAGCAAAGGTTGGGCTGCAACAAATCGACTCCTATGAGCTGCAGAGTTGTGTTCTTTTGACACTGCAGACATTCTGCAGACATAGTATGCTTGAGTGCTCACCAATGGCAACTCCGAAAGCTACCTAGAAAGATGCTTGAAGGGTTCTTGCAAGATGACACTCTTCACTAACTCGCCCAAATTTCCCACAGAGCCAACTTTTTAGATAGGTTTAAGCCTATGCGTCTCTGAGCCCATGCATGTTATGTTGAGCTGTTTTTCGAGGAGCCACGCTCGTCTGCCAGCCTTCCGTTTTGCTTGATTTCAGCGCGCAAGCTGTAGTGCCTTGACTGTTTTTGCAGCACAGTATATTTAAGCACGAATGGGCTTGCAGTCCATCATAGCAAGAAAGAGATGATTATCTTGGAAAACTCTTGCAAGTAGAGTTGACATTTCCCCTGTTTAGTTCTCTTCATGGAAAGGATTTCTGATTTACATTATAACTGAAGAGAGCGTCTAGTTGAACTCTTCCCTTGCTCGATTCTATGTTCAGTCTAGCTAATCTCGTTTACCACCACATGTGGAAATGACATATTTTCACCAAACATGGACATTTCCCATTTGGCACGAGGAGCCATCAAAAAGGAGCAGCTTAAGGAGCTGCTTGAGGAGCTTGCTCCATTGTCGTGAGGCTTGTTAGGTAGGATTGAAGGTTGCATGGAGTTGCCGGCAATCGCGTTTGGCTCAAGCACTGAAAAGCTGCTTAAATCCGCCCCGTGAACTGCTGAGGGAATAATAGCGACTGACCCCCAGATTCTTGTTCAGGTCGCTGCCTCTGGCGCGTTTTTTTGGGCTTCTTGCTTTTTGAGTGGCTATCAGCCAGTTGTCCTATTCTTTTCGAGGCTGATAGGCCCTCCCTCAGCAGTCAGTCCCTGCTGAAGGGGCGTGGCAGACGGAGAGCCCTTGCACCCACGAGGCACTGGTGGCGCAGCGGGGAGTGTCGCAATCGCACGCCAGGCCCAGGTCCAGGTCCAGATCACGGACACCTACGCCTACGGGGGTCGCGGCGGGCGAGTCGACAAGATCCAGGAGCTTGCTAGTCGCACGGCATGAACTGTCATCCTCGCCCCGAAGTTCCTCACTGTCAGAAACGACAGCACGGGGACTTGGACTCACTT